CCCTCGAAAATCACAGAAATTTCAGTCTTATTTACTTTTCTAATCATTTAGCTTAGGCTAATTGTATTTGTGGGGTTTCAGTCTTTGTTGGCAAGTGTTTCCTAGCTTCCACTCTTATATGATTTGGCACATGGGAAACATTAATTATATGTAGAATGAGGTGGTTTTGCAAAATGTTGTGCATGACAGTCCCTTCAATATCCCAGGAAGTTTATTTTGCTTGTCTTCCGTATATACATGCATGTAATTTTGGTAGCATGCCAGATATATATGTCCATGTGCAGTTTGCTGATGTATGACTGTCCCAGGAGACACGGGTGATTGTTTTCCCAATGCTTAGTTGTACTTGGATTCTCCTACATCATCTCGCCTGTGATTGCAGCTTTTGTTTCCTAGAGGAAAAGTACTACTGTAAGTATGATTTTTTTTTGTGCAGGGAAAGGCTTAAAAGTAGCCTTTTTGTTTGTTTTAGTGACCCCTCAGTAACTCTGTTGGTAGATCTGCTCTTAAATTGTTTAAGGCATGACAAAGGTAGAAAATTATCAGGACTAGTGCTCAGCATTGGGCAACTGTTGCTCAAAATCTTATTAAAAGGATCTGATGTATGTAGAAGTTACATAGTGTATCTTAAATATTTTTGAAATATCTGTTTAGACAGTTGCAGCCCTGCAGGATTGCTTCTATTTAAATTATAGACGTGGGTTAACTTCATTTGAGGAACATGCTCGAACTTCTCCAGGTGACTTCGTCTGAAGCTGAATGGGACATGTTCCTGGCATCCCTTGTGAAGGGAACTGAATAGGTGGTAACTGCCAGTGGATGGGAAATGGTGGGTATCTGGAGAGGAATGATTTTAGCCAGCAGATCCAAGAGAGAACTATTCCCTGCAGCCTCAGTGTTCCAGTGTCTCTAACTACCTTATAATACAGGTACAAGCCTGCATTTTCTTTTGTAGTCTTATCCAGTTCTTGCCCAGCTTTCTGGATCTTCTAGTGGTTGCCTGTTGGTGTCCCTGTTCCCCCTTCCCTGTGTTGGCTTCTGCTTATTTTCCAGTATGGTCAGCAAAAAGCCCATTAGCAGAACAAGACAGACATGGACCTGTTGGAGCGGGTCCAGAGGAGGCCACGAAAATGGTCATAGGACTGGAGCACCTCTGCTATGAAGAAAGGTTGGGAGGGTGGGGGTTATTCAGCCTGGAGAGGAGAAGGCTCTGGGGAGACCTTATTGCAACCTTTCTATATATAAAGGGGGCATATAAGAAAGATGGAGAGAGACTTTTTCCCAAGGCCTGTAGAGACAAGACAAGGGGCAACAGTTTTAAACATAGAGTGAATGTTTAGGTTGGACGAAGGCAAGAGGGGCATAATGGTGAGGGTGGTGAGGCACTGGCTCAGGTTGCCCAGAGAAGCTGTGGCTGCCCCATCCCTGGAGGTGTTCAAGGTCAGGTTGGAAGGGGCTTGGAGCAACCTGGGCTGGTGGGAGGTGTCCCTGCCCAGGGCAGGGGGGTTGGAACTAGATAAGCTTTAAGTTCCCTTCTACCCCAAACCATTCTGCAGTTCTGTGGTGGCTTTTTATAACTTTTAGTCTTTGTGTTTTGTCTATCTGGTCTCCTATGAAGACTTCTGCAACTTTTGTCTTGAAAGCCACATGAAAAATGCTTTTCTTGAGTAATACAGATGATAGATTTTCAAACACTCCCTGGTAATGAATTGAAAGTCTGTTCTACTCGGCTAGCTGGGCGCTGTATGGTGTGGCATTTTATCTGTCATTAGCTGGCTAACTTATTGTAACCTCTGTATTTCTAAACGTTCTCATCTGTTTAAAGAAAATCTTTCGAAACCCTAAATCAGCTTTTAAAAATACACACTGGTGCACGAAGGTGGCTCTCAGTGGTAGGTTATTAGATTGCAGCCATTAGCTTCTTTATATTTTGTTGTTGTTGTGCTTGGGGGAGGGTACCTATATAACTGCAATTCACTTTAGGGTTTAATTGATACTCTGATGCGTCTGAGTGCTTCCCCCCGACCTTGTTTTGTCATGTCTCAGCAGTACATTGCATATATGACAAGCTCTTAGTAAACTTGGAGTGGATGGCTTTTGCAGAAAGGAACAACAAATTCACCAGCGAAAATGTAAAGCGAAAGAGGAATGAAGAACAATATTAGAGAAGAACCCTTTGGGAAACTACACACCAAAAACGTTATATTAAAATCAATACTGGGGCTTGACCTTTTTGTGCTACTGTGTATTTTAAAGCTTACTATTGATTTCTGTTTTAATAACATGTTTATTCTAGTTTACTGGCGTAGGTCTGGAGAACATAAGAAATAAAGGGATTGATTTATTTACAATATTCATTCTGTATTTTACTGAAGTAAATTTATATTAATCTATGTTCAGTTCATATGGGTAGTGCACTAAATGTGGGGAAAACTTTTTTGAAGTAGATTTTCTTCCTAAATGATTATATTTTCCCGGGTAATTAGCGATGTTAAATTGGGAGACTGGCTTTTTCTTGCAGTATTCTTTTCATGGGGAGCAAGAAGCTGCTTTTTTTTTTTTTTTTTTAAAAAAAATTTCTTATCTAGTCTTCTGCCACAGGGACCTCTTGACAGTGTTTAGATTAAGTGTGAAAACAGTCAGGAAAATGGTATCTTCTCTACTGCTGACAGTAGGACAGACAGCTGGAAATACTTCCATGAAGCAGTAAAAGTGATTATAATTGATTATAATTGTTTTGACTTCTGATAGGTCAAAAACAAGAGTTAATATCTTCTGGCATGAGAGACCATACTGTGTTTGGTTGTTTTTAAAAATATCTATCTAATATATCTAATATCTACAGCTGTAGATATTACCCAATTGATAATCACATTTAGGAACGCAACAGACATTCGCCAAAGCTTGCCTCCTCTGGTCATCCTTTCTTTTGACAAGGTTCCATGAAGTAAGTATTGCAGAGAGAGATTCAAGCAAAGTTTAAAAATATAATTGAGAGAAACTGCTTTTAGAGGGAAGTTTCTTCATTCCTGTTGTTATTCCTGGGGAAAAAACCACTCTGGTGTGAGAAAGTATACTTTTGAAGTAAAGCTCCTTTGTAAGTACAGCCACATTTGTGTAGCCTGTGGATAATTATTCTCTCTTTGTTCATACATCTTTATACAGCATGACTTGTCTTCCACAGATGCTGGGAAGCTTAACCTTTTTCTACTATGACATTCAGTGTATCAGAAAAAAAAACAACCCTGGCTATTGATTTGAGAGAGAAAAACTTGGATATTTTATAGTGATAAAATATAGTGGTAGAATTTTGGAAGATAAGTCATAAATTGCGTAGAAACTGGAGAGAAAGGCTCATGTGACATGTGATAAAGGTCTCCCGTCCCTGAATGTGGCACGTACGTGTGCACAACTCTCTCTCCATATCTGAAGATGTATAGTGGGTAGAGAGAGGACTTAAAATAGTAATTGGTAAGATTGCAGAGTAGGCTTTTCTGCAGCGTAAAATCAGATAATGCCGGGCAGTGGTGAGGGCTATTCATTTACCAAAACAAAACATTCAAGTTTGAGTGTAACTGATATTATAAAAATAAAAAAAGTAAAAACGGTCTCGTTTGAGTGTCCAAAAGGCCGCTTCAACCTCGGGGCTGGGGACGCACTCACAGAGGCAGAAGCAAGTTCTGGCATCGCTTCTGCAGGCTGAGTTCCTCCTAGTTATGCCATCTCAGACATCTTCTTCCTCTCTCACAGCAGAAGTTTCCCTCGTCTGATCTCACACCCAGCTAAAGATTTAGAAGAACATTTATTCTTTGACAGCTGTAACATTACTGAGGGCTGGAGGGTCATGGGATAATCCTGCTCTGGCACAGGATTCTTTTCTGGGTCAAGACTGTCCCTTTGCAGGCGAGGGAAGGAGTCAGGACGAAGTGTGAAGATGTTTTGGGTTGGAGCAGAGATTTACCTATAAAACAAGTATTGTGGCCAGGTGAGCTGTGGTAACCGATGTCTTTTTGGAGAGCCATCTGTTG